ATTCAGTCATTTCATGCCGGTGGATTTCGTGGACCTTTTTTATAAAAGTTGTTACTTTTTCATTCTGGATTTTCTGTTTTTTCTTCTTGTTTGTTTTTTCTTCTTGTTTGTTTTTTCTTCTTGTTTGTTTTTGCTTCTTGTTTGTGTTCGCCTTGCTTTTTTGGTGACTGGAAATACGGAACTGCACGGTGTGCGGGATATCCTCAAATGGATAGAATGATTTTAATCTCTGGATAGTGCGTAATAGTACTGAAATGGTTGTGCGGCACAGTTGAAAACARCCTTGATCACATTGGCAGCTGACACGACCGAGTGTTTCGTCARGGGCGGCAGGGAGAAAAGCTCCTTCGTGCATGCACTTGACATGCCACCCTCTGCACGTCATGTTCCTTACCGCACTTTGGCGACATCGTTGTTCTTTCCATACTTAAAAAYGTCCCATCATGCATGCAAATGSTCGTGCATGCACATCGCGCGCCACCCTGTGCACGTCGTGTTTGTTTGCCCACGTTTGTTGGTCGCGACCACATTGCCATCCGATTGGCGGACAGGGTGTAAGGCGAGAAGATTGATGGCGAGAACAGTGGATGGCGAGAAGAGTGGGGCGGGAAGGGTGCATGGTCGGAAGCCTTGATGGCGGGAAGGGTGGGTGACAGCCTTGATGGAGAGAAGAGCGGGATGGCGAGGAGAGTGAATGGCGGGAAGAGTGGATGGCGAGAAGAGTGGATGGCGGGAAAGGAGGGTGACAGCCTTGCTGGCGGGAAAGGTGGGCGGAAGCCTTTATGGCGAGAAGAGTGGATGGCGAGAAGAGTGGATGGCGAGAAGAGAAGGGCGGATGCCTTGATGCCAAGAAGGGTGCAGCGGAAAGATGTATGGTGTGGGTTCACGTTCAAACCCGACGATCGGATGGCGGGAAGGGTGCGTTGAAGCCCGACCATCGGATGGTGGGGTGTCACATGAAGCCTGACCATCGAATGGTGGGGTGTTGCATTAAAGACTGACCATCGGATGGTGGGGTGTCACGTTGAAGCCCGACCATCGGATGGTGGGGTGTCGCGTTGAAGCCCGACCATCGGATGGTGGGGTGTCACGTTGAAGCCCGACCATCGGATGGCAGGANTTGAAGCCCGACCATCGGATGGTGGGGTGTCGCGTTGAAGCCCGACCATCGGATGGTGGGGTGTCACGTTGAAGCCCGACCATCGGATGGCAGGATGATGGCGACACAGTCGAACGGTCGTGYGGCCGGATGTTGGAAGGTTCGGGGTTCAGGTGAGGGTGGTCGGATGSCAGTATGGTTGGACAGTCGAATGGCCCGACGGGGGGACTRCAAAATTATTGGCCGGAGGGCTGGTCGGGTGGTCGGATRGCAGGATGGTTGGCTGCTTGCCTGGTCGGATGGTCAGGTGGTCGTACGGTCGTACGGTCGGGCGGCTGGACGGTCGGATGGTCGGATGGTCGGACGTTTCGGGCCYGTTYGGGTGGTCGGACGGTTGGTCGCCTGGTCGGATGGTCGGATGGTCGGTCGTTTGTGCCTTGCGGTTCAACTCAGGCTCGTCGGCTGCCGGGATGGTTGGACAGTCGGATGGTCGGACGGTCAAATTGTAAAATTGTTTGAAGGCGGGATGGTCGGACGGTCGGRAGGCAAGATGGTCGGCTGGCAGGATGGTGGGACGGGCAGGTTGGCGGGATGCWGGGATAGGAGGATGTTCAGATGGCAGGATAGCAGGATGGCAGGACGGTCCGGTGGCCKGATGGCAGGACGGCGGTTCAGGGTCTAGGGTTCAGGGTTGAAGGTCGGGTCCGACTCCCTGGATGGTGTAGGGTTTAGGGTTCTGGCCGGGTCGCGGGATGGCAGGATGGTCGGATGGTCGGGTGGTCGGGTTGYAGGAYGTCAGGAAGGTCGCATGGTTGGACGGTCGATCGTGTGTGGTTCAGGGTCTACGGTTTAGGGTTCAAGGTCGGGTTCGACTCTCTGGATGGTGTAGGGTTTAGGGTTCTGGTCGGRTGGCGGGATCGAAGGATGGTCGGATGGTCGGGTGGTCCGATTGCAGGACGTCGGGAAGGTCGCATGGTTGGACGGTCGATCGTGTGCTGTTCAGGGTCTAGGGTTTAGGGTTCAAGGTCGGGTCCGCCTCCCTGGATGGTGTAAGGTTTAGGGATCTGGTCGGGTCGGGCTCCGTGGGTGGTCGGATGGTCTGGTGGGCGGATRGTCGGGTGGTRGGATGGCGAGATGGAAGGATGGCAAAATGGCAGGAAGGCAGGATGGTGGGATGATGGGGTGGCACGATGGCAGAACGRCAGGACGGGGTTCAAGGTCTAGGGYTTAGGGTTCAAGGTCGGGTCCGCCTCCCTRGATGGTGTAGAGTTTAGGGTTCWGGWCGATTGGTCGGATGGTCGGTTGGTCGGATGGTGGAATGTTCGGATGGTGGAATGGTCGGATGGTCGATTGGTCGGATGGTCGATTGGTCGGATGTTGGAATGGCAGGAAGKTCGGATGGTCGAACGGTCGAATGCATGCTCGGACATACGGTGGGTGGTGGTTCGGGGTCTAGGGTTGAAGGCCGGACRGCAGGATGGCAGGATGGCAGGAAGGTTGGATGGCAGGAATATCGGATTGCAAAATGGTTGGATGGCATGATGCGAGGATGGCGGGATGTTTGGATGGTAGGACTGSAGGATGGTAGGGCGCTCGGATGGCAGGACGGTGGGGTGGTCGAATGGCATGACGGTCAGTTTGTCCGGTGGCGGGCAGGCAGGAAGGTTGGATGGTCGCGTGTTCGAATGACAGGACTGCAGGATGGTCGGGCGCTCGGATGGGAGGACAGTGGGGTGGTCGGATGGTAGGACGGTCGGTTGGTCCGGGTGGTAGGATGGCAAGACGGTCGGGTGGAGCGGTGAAGCTCGACCATCGTATGGTGGGGTGTCGCGTTGAAGCCCGACCACCGGATGGGAGGATGTCGGGATGGGAGGATGGGAGGATGGGAGGATGGGAGGATGGGAGGATGGTCGGGTGGTGGGATGGCAAGATGGCAGGATGGGAGGATGGCAGAATGGCAAGATCGGAGGATGGTCGGGCGACAGGATGGCAGGATGGCAGGGTTGCAGGATGCCAGGATGGCACGACGGTCAGGTGGAGCGGTGAAGCTCAACCATCGTATGGTGGGGTGTCGCGTTGAAGCCCGACCATTGGATGAGAGGATGGCAGGATGGTCGGATGGTCGGATGGTCGGATGGTCAGGCAGTGGGATGGCACGATGGGAGGATGGCAGGATGGCGGAATGGCAAGATCGGAGGATGGTCGGGTGCCAGGATGGCAGGATGGCAGGGTTGCAGGATGCCAGGATGGCACGACGGTCAGGTGGAGCGGTGAAGCTCGACCATCGTATGGTGGGGTGTCGCGTTGAAGCCCCACCATCGGATGGGAGGATGGGAGGATGGGAGGATGGTCGGGTGGTGGGATGGCAGGATGGGAGGATGGCAGGATGGTGGAATGGCAAGATCGGAGGATAGTCGGGTGGCAGGATGGCAGGATGGCAGGGTTGCAAGATGCCATGATGGCACGACGGTCATGTGGAGCGGTGAAGCTCGACCATCGTATGGTGGGGTGTCGCATTGAAGCCCGACCATCGGATGGGAGGATGTCGGGATGGGAGGATGGTCGGATGGTCGGGTGGTGGGATRGAAGGATGGGAGGATGGCAGGATGGCGGAATGGCAAGATCGGAGGATGGTCGGGCGGCAGGATGGCAGGATGGCAAGGTTGCAGGATGCCAGGATGGCACGACGGTCAGGTGGAGCGGTGAATCTCGACCATCGTATGGTGGAGTGTCGCGTCGAAGCTCGACCATAGGATGGTGGGGTGTCGCGTTGAAGCCCCGCGATCGAAGGGTGTCGTGTTGAAGCCCGAGCATCTGATGGTGCGGCACGACGATAGGGTGATGTTTGGATGGCAGGACTGCAGGATGGTAGGGCGCTCGGATGGCAGGACGGTGGGGTGGTCCGATGACATGATAGTCGGTTGGTCCGGTGGCGGGCAGGCAGGAAGGTTGGATGGTCAAGTGTGCGAATGACAAAACTGCAGGATGGTCGAGCGCTCGGATGGCAGGACGGTGGGGTGATCGGATGGCAGGACGGTCGGTTGGTCCGGATGGAAGGATGGCACGATGGTCGGGTGGAGCGGTGAAGCTCGACCATCGTATGGTGGGGTGTCGCGTTGAAGCCCGACCATCGGATGAGAGGATGGGAGGATGGGAGGATGGGAGGAGGGAGGATGGGAGGATGGTCGGGTGGTGGGATGGCTCGATGGTCGGCTGGTGGGATGGCGGGACGGGCAGGTTGGCGGGATGCTGGGATATGAGGATGTTTGGATGGCAGGATGGTAGGATGGCAGGACGGTCCGACCGCCGTATGGCAGGACAGTGGTTCAGGGTCTAGGGTTCAGGGTTGAAGGTCGGGTCCGACTCCCTGGATGGTGTAGGGTTTAGGGTTCTGGGCGGGTCGCGGGATGGCAGGATGGTCGGATGGTCGGGTAGTCGGGTTGAAGGACGTCGGGAAGGTCGCATGGTTGGACAATCGATCATGCGTGGTTCAGGGTTTAGGGTTTATGGTTCAAGGTCGGGTCCGCCGTTACCTACAGACGAAGAGAGTGGAGGGGGAATAAACAGAAGAGACAGAGTGGCCAGTGCCACGTCAGCAGCGGTGTGCACGGGTGGCCTGCGCCACATCGACACCGTAAACAGCGTGGCCAATGCCGCTTCAGCACTGCAGACAGTTGGTCTSCGCTGCATYAGCATAAAGACAGCATGGCCAATGCYGCRCCAGCAGTAGACAGGCGGCAGCGCCACARCARCAATATAGACAGGTGGCATGCGCCACGTATCAGAAGTTGGCGCTCAATAGAGACAACGCCAGCATGCTGCCACAGTCCTGCGTCGTCCGCAGTACCCGCGCACAGCCAACATCAAGCCGGCGACAAGACAACATGGCAATACTGGTATCGGGTTCCCTACCCACATTCATACAGAACTCGCAAATTCGTTCGAGAGCCTTTTTCCGTTCTATCAGGGAGTATCGGTAAGGCTTGCAGTGGATGGGGGAATGATTACCGTTTCAATTTCGTGTTGGATAACCAACGACAAGCCAATGTCAGTGTCGGTCACGCTAATCACTCCTTGATTTTCTGTTAGAATGTCTGCAATCACACAGTCAATCTCGTCAGGTACGTACTGGGGAACATGTAACTCAAATAGTTGATCCCAAATCCGTACGTTGATTTGCTTCGTGCGTGCTTGTTTCGCTACATCGGGCGGTGGCGCAAAGATAAACGAATGGTCCGATCGCCAGGATAATACTGTGGCCACCATCTGGGCATCTTTCTCCCGGATGGCCACGTGTCCTTCCAGAGTGATCCCATCGCAGATATCCTGCCATGGTACGGTTTTAGTTGCAATCTTTATTCCGAGTTCATCTGATTCAGTCTCGAGGCGCCAAGGGGGTTCCAAAGAACTAGCCTCCGCCCCTGACCGTAACAGTCGTAATTCTTTTGTGGGTGTCAGTAGTGACTTCGGTAGATCTGTGATATCGCAGTAGTGCTTTTTGTCATTGTATTGGGCGAGGAGAGGGGAGATTCCTTCATACAGAGTTTGAGGGGGTTCCAAATAATCGACCATCCTCGAAATCTGAACGAGGGGTTCACCCAAAATCATCGCCCTGGTTCTTCGGATATTCCGACTGGTTAGATGCATTGTTCTTGCGATTGTTCTGGGCGGCGGGTAATAAATGCGCTGTCGTGCCAGCCTCAGAATTTCCGAGTCGTTTTCGTCGCTGCTGTCCGCATCCTTCGATGATGGCTGATCGTCTGTGGAGTTTTCCCAGGTGATCATTGATCATACGAAGAGTCCCCGCTATCATTGGCGAAACTCGCGGGACTGCGTTGATGGTAGTACGAAGGGTCAGTCTCATAGGAACGGCATAGGGCTTTCCTCCCGTATTTTGGAGGATGATTGACAATCGCTCGAAATCCAGGTTCGCTCGTAATGCCACAAGAGCGGGAAGTCCGAAAAGAACGTCGTAGGTATTTATATCTAGCACCACCACATCTCCCAGTGCATGCACCTTTCCCAATCGGAAAGCGACATTGGTCATTCTTCCGACCGTTTTAATCTTCTCTTCATCTGCCAATACGAGCTGATTTTTTTCCAAAAGCATGATCAGGTCGTTTTTCCTACCTGTCCTCTCAACTACTCTCAGCGAGATAGCCAAAACAGCGACTCCCGAGTCGATGATTGCATTGTACGGAATTCCCCAGATTTCGATGTCGCATTCCGCAGATTTCCAGGGGATGGGTTTAATCCGTAGGAAATGATCGTCTTTCTGTATTAGTCCTACCCGTATTGGATCTAACGTGCCAGCCGCGTTTTCGTCTGGCGTGGAACCTTTCACTTTCACGTTTGGTGTTCGAGCAAGGGCGAATCGTTTCCGATTCGCCTTGCAGTGTTGTAACATCCGCTCATTAGCTTGTTCAGAGATCGAGAGCAAATGGCCGATCGGGAGTGGAATCCGATGGTCCAAAGCTCGGACGATGTTCAGTACATCAATTTCCCCAGTGACGAAGGTGGGTCCTCTCGACTCCATCTCTTCGGGAGAAGTTCGCCACTCCACCAACTCCTTCTGTTCCGGGGCTGGTCGGATTGTTCCAATCATTCCAAGTCCCGAATAACCAAGCGATACATACTGATCTAATGCAATGAGCTCAGCACCTCTTCCGTGGTTGCTAACGCACTTCCCACACCTTCCATCTCTTCCATGAGGGCACCTACCCTCCCTCGTCCGTTAGCGATGGGGGTCGCTGCCATTGGTGCGACCCCGATCCGCTGTTGCGGGGGTCGGTGGGGGCAGTCACGGGCTAGATGTCCTGGCTGATGGCATGCATAACAGACATTCAGATTGTTCGCGGCTCCCCCGAGAGCAGGCGCCGGGGCCAGCCCTTGTTAAATTGAAGGGGCGCGTACTGCGATGGCCCGCATGTTCCTCATCATAGCTTCCAATCGAGCGTTATGCTTCCGTTGTTCCTTTTTGCTTTCCTGGATTAGACTAATCAATGTTTTGGTTAGTTCGAATATGGCAGTTGATTCATTCGATCGTACGGGAGTCTCAATTGGGGGAGGGGGTGCCGTTCGTACAGGCGTTGGCATCACAGGAACAGGGACACTCGGGATCTCATTTGGAATCGATCGTTTAGGGGCTATCTGTTCCATGTAGGTGACAGGACTCGACACAAACCCCATGTTTTCAAACTTGTTTTGCAGCGCAACCACTTCGGCTTTTGCCCTTGCGAGTTCGAACGAATCTCCTTCCCTAGAATAGTCTTCTCCTTTCAGGAAGTTCGTCGCGAACTTCCGTTCCATTTCTTCTGCAGCGGCCATGATCTGCTGCAGTGTATGATTGATGGGGGAAAAATGCTTTCGCAACCTTGCCCTTATTGTTCGGCTGCGGAGTCCGTCTATGAACAGATCTCTCCATACTTGTTCACCTCGCTCAGTTTTCACAAACATTCGGTAGAACCGGTTCCGATACTCTGCAACGGATTCGAGAGGTTTTTGCACTTGGTCCTTTATCATGTAAAGCGCTTTCCCTGGGTGGACGTAATCAAATCGATTCAGAAAGTCTCGTTCGAAGGTCTGAAGATCTACGCATACATAGGTACTGAACCAGTGATGAGCGTCTCCTCCTAATCGGGCGGGGATGTTTACCAGAGCTTCGTTATCGTCATACTGCTATGCTCGGAGCGTGGCCAACCATGCTCCTGCAAGGTGGCGCGCAGGATCAAATGGATAGAGATCAGGTGGCGTCATGGGAGCCCGTGCTCGTGGGGCGGGTTGATTAGGATTCAGTTGGTTAGCATTTTGCTGCGGATTTGGGTTTTATACATTAGCAGCCATGTTGGCTGCCCGTCGATTAGCTGATCTGCCCGGGTGACGATGGGGTCGCGTCTATGCTCATTCCGAGGCCGAGGTCGCCCTCGGTTAGCCAGATCGACCAATTAGTATGCTATTAATCCTAAAACCCGGCCACGTGTCGGGCTCCGATACCAACCTCACGCCCAGCGCGACTTCCTGATCGGAGTAGGATGTGGGTGTGGAAGTGCGAAAAGGGGTGTGCCAAGGATTTTTGGGGAAAGTGGAGTCCCAGGTCAGAACTGAGATCTCCTGTGGCAGGGTTTTTCGGGGGCACGAATGCAATTTGGCGGAGAGGGCGGATCGCCTCCGGTCACGAAGCGGATGGTACGCGTGGGTTGCTCAGGGCCGGGCGAGCCATTGGTTTCAGGGACGGCGGTTTGCGGGAGGGTCCCTTCGGGGTGGATAGGGTTCCAGTGATTCAGGTCGTCGAGAGTTGCCACGTGGCGCCGGCCGTCGCGCGTTTGGGTTGGGCCTCCGGGATTCCGGGGTCCTCTGATCGTCGCGTCGTCTGCAGTTTCCGCAGGGCGTAATGGGCCAGTATGGGGCTATGGGCGGCCACGGGACGACGATGAGTTGGTGATACGGAAGGAGGAGGCGAAAGGGATGGAAAC